CAGCTTGTACACCTAAATTTGGCCAATCAAATATCAACGTTCCTACGTCAATCAAATTTTTTCGATCACAGCAGCTTTATTCATATGTTGCAGCTAATATACGCAAAGGTTGAAATAATAATCATTTACTTTACCATTGAGTTACATCCCATTGTTCACGGGGATGGACGTCTGTCTCTTCTGCAGGCGTAGAGCTAACAGAACTGGCAGCGTTGCGAGGAACGGACTCAAACATGTACGGGTGTAAGCCTTCTACACCAAACAAAGCTTCTGCCTCCCTGGCGTCCTCTTCCACAACAACTTCGTCCCCACTTTTCACCAAATTTTACGATGAAGGAGACTCATCCATGACCTCTGACACAATTCTCTCCTCCTCTTGAATGTTTCTGCTGTCCTTTCTGTCACCAATTAAATGCTACTTGGTCCCAATGTAATTTCCCATTGGGAACCTACTAGCACTAAGTTGCTAACAGGTTAGCAAGATGCTTCCGAGACACCGGCCACAGCCAAACTTGCCTGCTAACCTTTTGCCACAACAATCCCGCCTCCTTGATAATCGACCAATCACATTCACTTTATTCACATGTGTAATATTGAACACCACTTGAGAGAATTCGGAACTGCAACCGTTGGAACAGCTGCTTCCCTATGATTTTAAAGGATCAGTCAATACAGCATGCACCACAGCTCAGTTTTTAAAATGCATAACAAAAGCTGTGAAAAGTTACATAAATGGGATTGTTTTGTTCTTTATTCTTAATAAATTAACAATGAACTCATAAAGTTCTACGAATTTTCATAATGAGATATTGTTTTGATAAATTTTGGGGCTTCTCTTTGGCACTCAGGCAACAGTTTTGCTACACTGCCAAAAAACATTATAAATATATAAAAAAAATGAATTGAGTTATTGCCATTTTGGCTGTGACATTTATGAATGTGGAAGAAGTGCAGCCTGGCAAATAATTTCTGGATGTGTAATTAGTCTGTATGGTATGTGAGTTATAGAAAACTGTGGCGCAGTGGGTAGCATTGCTGTCTTGCAGAAAGAAGGTTCTGGGTTCCATTCCCGGCCTGGCGTCTGTCTGCATGGAGTTTGCATGTTCTCCCTGAGCATATGTGGTTTGTCTCCAGGTACTCTGGCTTCCTTCCACAGTCCAAAAACATGCCTGATAGATTAATTGGCTTCTCTAAAGTCCCCTTGGGTGTGTGTGTGTAAATGGTTGTTTGTCCTGCCTGTCTCTGTGTTGCCCTGAGATGGACTGGCGACCTGACCCTGACTCTCGTCCGTACACAGCTGAAGATAGGCACCCCTCGTGACCCCACTTGGGAGTAAGTGTCTCAGAAAATGGAAGGATGGATGCCTTATAGCCAAACAAACCTTTCTATCATTTTGTATAAATCCTATTCTAACACTGCTTTATACATTTTATCCAGGGAGAACTAATTATCTTAAAGAGTAATAAAAGACAGCATGATATGAGTAATAAAAGACAGCATGATATGCACACATTTTTTTCTATCATTCAGAAATTTAATAAAACATTTTTCTAAACAACAAGAGACACTAAAATCTATGTATTTGGAGTGTTCCTACTTAAATGTCTATTTCTTTAATTTCTAAAGACATGACTGAAACCACACTGATTCATGAATTCCAAAAGAGCCACTTCAACATCTATAGAGAAAATCTTTGTTTTTATTAGATGTTGTCTGCTTGCTCCTGAATCCCTCCCTTCTCCCTCCCATGGCCACTGCTTGCATTATTACTCCATTCAGCTCACGGTTAAGGGGAGAAACCACCCCTTTGGAATCTTTCAATGGGCATCATTAGTATTCTGTGGGGAAATAAAAGGACCCATCTGTGGATGTGGTGATGAGGGGTTAGCAGGATAGGGGGATCCCTTGAGAGACTAAGGGATTAACCACTGACACATGGAGCCTGCTAATAAGATGATTTGGAGAAACCCATCTATACATCGTTAAAACATGTCTGTCACTTTCACCAGACAGATAAACACACCCAAAAACAGATGCAGTTGTATATATCTCTAACACATAACCAATCTATCAAACAAACTCAATGAATGTTTAAGTGTTTCTTACAACAAGCAGTCATACACATTGACATCTCTATTTCCTTATTATATTTGTAGTTGGGCCACATCTGGTCACTTACATCCAAGGAACAAAAGAAAAGAAACCTGGGGGGGGGGGGTTCACTGGTGGTTGTGGGGTAACCATGTCAGATATGGAGATTTGATTCCACCCTGCAGAGTATTAATGTGCTTGTGCACGTGCCAAGCATATGTCACATATAATTGGAGGGTGTCAGGTGTGAACATTGAGCCAGGTTCAGCCCACCCCCAACATGAATCGTCTCCTCCTTAAACTAGTAGAATCTGTAGGTCTACATCTATATTTATTACAAGGCGGACCCAGAGGTTGGGAGGGATGACCACCTGATAGGGAATGAATGGCTCTTGGGGTTGTCATGAATCACATCAGATCACCCACTGACAGGAGCCTCATCTGTAGCAGCCTCTCGCTATCACTTTTAGTGATTTAATCACAATTCATTGATCGTTCAAAGCTTTTCTTAGTAGGGGATTATTCTTGGCTCGAGGAAATTGTTCTTCGCTCTGTGGGTAGAGGGTATTTTTACAGTCTAGTTAACCAAATCTCTGAAAAGGGTTAAACAGGACTTTTGTATTTTTGACTCTCTTTTAAAAGGCTGGAAAGGAAAAAGAAAAAAAGTTTGTATTTTTATCTAGATAAACATGGAAGAAATATAAGGAAAACAAACAAAAAAAAAACTCTAATTCTGGTGCATTTGCAGCAATGCTAACTAATTTACACCGCCCCTGTCAAATAAATGAATAAAATGAAAACAAAAGCACAGAAAAATATGGGTATTTCCTGAGATCATTCCCAATCTCAATCTTCTAAAATATACAAATTCAGCTGTTAATCAAGCCTTCCTTCCTTCCTTCCTTCCTTCCTTCCTTCCTTCCTTCCTTCCTTCCTTCCTTCCTTCCTTCCTTCCTTCCTTCCTTCCTTCCTTCCTTCCTTCCTTCCTTCCTTCCTTCCTTCCTTCCTTCCTTCCTTCCTTCCTTCCTTTAGTCATCAGGCTCCTCTTCTGTGGAACCAACCACGGGTTTTAGTCAGTGTCTCCTTGAACCCCAGTCGGCCTCGGCAGATTGCCGCTCACACTGAGCCTGGGTCTGCTGGAGTTTTCCTCTCCACGGTCACTATATGAATTATTGGTGTAAGGGGTTTCCGAAGGGTAAAAGACAAAATGTAAGTCAAAATCGTCACCACAACCTCATCCAGGGAGAGCATTTCTACAAGTTAAGCACTGGATGCAAACAACTGATTTTCCTAACCAATGTGACAGTATTGTCTCTGTAAAGTGCATTGAGATAACATGTTTTGAACTGGTAATAAATAAATAAACTAAATTAAATTCATTTCAGTTAAAAAGACATAACTTTGGAGAATTCAGTCCTGAAAAGTCACTTTAAACACGCTGAGAATCCATAAGTAAGAAAATGAGTTAAATTCTTTTTCAAAATGAATTTGTTATTGACATGCTCTCTAGAGTTTTCTATCCCATTTTATGTCAGGGATTGCTTTATCCTGAGATCAAATAGACTTCTGCTGCAGTGGTTTAATACATTCAAGCATTCAGGCAAAAGCTGCAAAGTTTCTGTTTCCGCTTTACCACATACGAATGTCTGCTGATGCATAGAAAAAGTAGTGCTCATTATCATCAGTTTCATTCATGCTTGCTAGGTAATTTGTCACACGGGCAGATCAGACTGCTTGCTGAAGGAATACTGAAAAGGAGAGACAATTAATGGGGGGTATAGTTTCACCTCAACAGCAGAACAACAAGGAGATGTGGCTTCATGCAGTCTCTCTGGATAACCTACATTTAACTTAAATGGCAATTTTTTTAGAGTGCTTTGACAGAAATAGATCAGTGAGACTGGAGAGAAGACAAGGTAATGTAATGTCCCACAGCACAAATCAAGTCTCGTTGGCGCCTGATGATATGATGCATCCCAAAATAGAATCTTGCTGACCAAGGAAGTTGTTGCACCAAAAAATCAATACACTCTCAATCTGTGCCTAGTATACACTGAAGGTATTATTTGTAGCTCTGCATTTTGCTTTATGTGTTCTGTTCTGGCCATGCTCTCAGGTAAAAGGATGCAACTTTTATTCTGTTTCATAAAAATATTGCACCAGCAGAGTTATCACAGCAGTGAATAATGTAGACAAAGGATCGCCCACTTGTATACATTAGTTTTTAAATGTTGAAACCCAAAGACATCAAAGCCTGCATTATGCTTCTCCAGATCCAGTGCAAGACAGAACTCTACAGAAGATCCTTCCTGCCTACAATGACACCTACAACACCTGTTAAAAAAGTAACATGAGTTACTGCAGCATTCAATTTCACTTTGGGATTAATAAAGTATTTTTGAATTTGAATAGAATTGAACTGATTTGAATTCTGACACAAAATAAAAAATAATGTGTACTTCAGTCAGTTTGTATTTTTGTTACAATTTTACTTCCTGATTACTGATTAGTGTTTTTGTATTTTAATCTATCTAATATGATGGAAAATAAAACAAAAAACTGATAACAGAAAACTGAAAACTCAATCACAACAAATGGGAAGAACCATAACACTATTAGGCCATTATCAATTAATATAAATATGTACTAGCCATAGATAATGTTTATGTTCAAACACGCTGGTGGACATCAGTGGTGAGGGAAGCTGTCTAGCTGTAGAAGGAGTCCTATCGGGCTTTATTGACCTGTGGGACTCCAGAAGCAGCTGCTGTGTACTGGCAATCAAAGCGGCAGGTGGCTCGGCTGGTTGCTGAGGCAAAAAATTTGGGCGTGGGAGGAGTTCGGAATGGAAATGGAGAAAGACTTCCGTACAGCTTCGAAGGGATTCTGGTCCACAATCCGGTGTCTCAGGAGGGGTAAGCAGTGCAGTGCAGAAGAGACACTATAGAATCCCATAGAATTGCTCTGCACAGGCCTTCAGGATCCTGGGGCTGACGGCATCAGGCCCTGGTGGTTTTTTGGTAGTCAGTCTCTTCAGCTGCCTCTTCACTTGACTTCTAGAGACAGAAATTTGGAAGCTGGAGTACCATCCTCTGATTTGGCTGAGAACAATTGTATAAAAGCAGGTGGGTCCATGGAAGAGGTGGAAGATGAAACAGTGAAACTGTCTTGAATAAGGCTGGTATGTCTGTTTGCCTTTGGGCAGGATAGAAGGATGCTAAACTTGTTCCTGAACTTAACCTATTGAAGAATGTGATTAGATCATTGGCTCTGTCCAAACTTCCATCTGTCTGATTCTCCTTGTGTTTGGAGCCTGTGATCTTCTTCCTCCCTGGCCAGACATTGTGTTTTGCAGAAGCTTGTTTCCATCTTCTTTCTGTATGCCTCATTGCTTTTTCTTATCTTGAGGTCAAGTTTATTCTGTATACTCCTTAATAATTCCCAGGCTCCCTTTGTAGAGGTTCTTTTTTTTTTTTTTCTTTTTTTTTTTTTTTTACTAATTCCTTCATATCACTGGGGATTGGGGGTTTATTGTTTGGGAAACATTTCACTTTTCTAATTTAAATACTGTTATTTACACAGAAGTTTATTCATTCAGCGACAAATTCAGTCAATGCATTGATGTCCCCTCCATGTGACTGACAAGGAGCATCCCACACTGTAGCATGAAAACAACCTTGCAGGGCTTCCTCGGCTGTGTGCGACTGTCTTCTTACAGTTCTCTTTATTCTCACAATTAAATAAGCTTATACTCTGATCACACAATTGTGATCTTATTTCTCAGGAGAGAGTCTATCTTTGGAGACATATGACTCCTTGACATTTGTATTAAAACAGGAACAAAGTTTTGTTTTCTCTGGTAAAGCAGCTGACAAACTGTTGGAACATTGGCAGTGTGGCAGAGATTAAATCTTTTTCTGCTCATATGAACAGATAGCCTGGGAGAGAGACGATAGAGTTCGATCCTGCTGCCTTGTTTCAATGAAACACATAATACTGCATTGCTGGGCTTGGGATTCTTCTAACTTGACTCCAAAAGATCTCACATTGACTATAAGGATTGCTAAAAGAGACAGCATGAATTTCCTGCTTCTCTCTTATCTACTCTATCCTGCTCTGTATCTTCTGTATCTTCTTTTTAACTTAGCTGGTAATTGCTAAAAATACTATGGTTTTACAGGTATAACACTTTTTTTTTTTTTTTTTCAAGAAATGCTGATTCACAAATGGAGCTACCCCCTCAATCCAAAAAAACAGACAGCAGAATCAGTGGATACCAGAATCAAGCCAGCAAAGGTAATCCAATGTGCAGCTATTTTAACAGTGCAATTTTATGGTTTTGGAAGGGTTGCTCCAATTAATGCTAACGTTTTGTGTGTTAAATTAGTAAGCCTGCGCCTTCAAGGAGCAGGTATGAGAATTTTTGTCAGGATTTGGTTATGGAGTGTTGACCCAAAAGCAGAGGCAGGAAGGCAGAGGTGAATTTCAGAAACCATGGAGACATCAGGGGAATCAATGTCACAACGAGAAAGACTCAGGAAGACGGAGTTGGAGGAAGTTTGACAAAGTTAGGCAGTGTTTGACGAGGACCCAGCAAAGAGGAACTGAAGAGAGAGGGCTTTTTAAAGGAGACTGAGACAAAGAGAGGGCTAATGAGAAAACTGGGAGCAGGTGTGCACAGAACAAGAGAGGGAAAGAGCTAGGGAAGAAGGAGAACATAAGAGGTCAGCAGAGGGCAGCAAATAGAAAGCTGGAAGACTGGAAATAACAACAAAATAATAATTAAACTACTACAACAATAAAACATGGAGAAAGGAAAACTAAACACTAACACTAGAAAACAAGCAGTAAAGCAAGACTGGATACTCTAAAGAAAAACATAACAGAAACCTAACAACTTTAGTTTGCCAGTATTCAACAAGTAATTATTTTCTCTGATTTGTTATTTTACCTTGTTGAGACATTTTGTACAACAGTTGCTTAGTGTCTTTTATTTATTTAGTCTATTTAGATAATTAATCAATTAATTACTTATGTTATGTGTTTTAAGATTTTATATTTAATGATTTAGATTACAGTTGGATTTAAAGTGCCAGCAACAAGAAAGGCATTTAAATCCCCAAAAAAGTGACTAAATAGTTACTGTACCTAGTAGCTAGTTTATTTAGTATTTCAGTAAATGAGTTATAATCTAAATTACTTTTTAGGATATATAACTATGAATACTTTTTAAAATGGATCGCCCAATATCGGCAGACATACCTTATGACCTAGCTTGACCCAGAAAAGTGCACAAACGAGCTTGTACTTCCTGCAGAGAATAAGAAGAGCCCACCTGCCCCCACTCATCCTCCCGACCTTCTACAAAAGCACCTTAGAGAGCATTCTAACCAGCTGTCTCCCTGCGTGATGTGGAGGCTGAAGCACCTCAGACCGGAAGAAAGTGAGAAGAGTTGTGAGAAAAGCAGAGAAGATCATCGGGGCTTTCCTCCATAAAAGACATTTCATCTCAGCGCTGCGTGTCCCACGCTCTTAAAATAATCAATAACCCCTCTCAAACCCCAACATAGACTGTTCTCTTTGCTGCCCACTGGGACGAGGCTTCACAGCTTCAGATGCAGGTCCAGCAGATTCTGCAACAGTTTCTTCCCCACCGCCATCAGACTGCTGAACTGTTGAAAAACCTCCAAATCATGTCACAAACTCTGCATCACACTGATAACACCAAACCAAAAATACTGCATATTTGGAACATATACATTTATGCTCTGAACTTCCATATCAATGCTTTTTTTGTACCATGTTTTTTCTCCCACACTGTTTAATTTGATCTCTGCTGCACTTTCTGGAATTGAAAGGTTAATTTACTGTCTGTAAAGCTGTACTAAAGTTTTGAAAATGTAGTACAACAATAAAAGCTGTCTAAGTCAGAAAGGGGCCATAACATTTTTTAGCATTACTGGTATCCTAACAATCACGTAATAATATCATTGCCTGTTTTGGATAACTGGTTATTAAACAACTAAGCTTTTCTTTTCTGTTTTTGTTCTTTAAAAATTGGCCTAAAATAAGAAAATGACAGAAGAATGGCAAGAACAATTCATTAGAAGTCTGGACAATGGAAAGACTACTGCAGCACTAGGCCGTCTGTGACTGCCTTAGACTTAAGACTTTTTTAATCAACTTTGTTTATCCTTTGGGATTACTCCCTCAGGGAATTTCTGGTTCCAGTAGCTTATATAGACTACAAAGAGTTAAAGTAAGATGCCATTAAAGATCAAAATACAGCAGAGTGTATATAGTACAAAAAAGCAAAGAAAAAAAGTTGTATATAAAAATATCTGCACAGTAGAGAGCTAAGGGAAGACTACAAAGTAGTTGAGGTCTTGGGTCTGGGGGGGGAGAATCATCTGTTTACTGGCTTCAGCAATTTATGGAACTGAATGTGTTAAGATACCTGGGGATGGGGATGTTACACTTATGTGACCAAGTCTTGCCTACTAAATATCAGGTAAAAATTCTATTTACATTTGCCTTTTCTTTTAAAAACATATGGATGATCTACCTCTGGATAAGGTAGTTCAGAATTTGACATAAATCTTATTAAAGTGCAGATAGAGGTTTATGCATGACAGAGTGTTCATTTTCAAGCTCTAAATCAACCAATAATAGTTTTGCATTTTGCCAATATGTGACAGCCAGTTTTTGCCCATATGGCTCCAAACATGCTCACAAGCTGCTGACAGTCGGTGACGGTTCAACCCACACCAAGCAGCAGAATTTATATAGGCCTGCATGCATTTCCTGTCCAGTAAAACGGCAGCAGATGGTTGTGAGAATTCTGAATTCACAGGCCTTTGTGTTGGACACCTATAAGGCTCGACTTATTAACAGCTGTTTTTCAGTGTGCATCCAGTTATGGTGCAGTAAATTGTGGATAAATAAAATGACCTGGAATGGGGGGAATGGAAGGAGGTTTGATACTAAAAACATTATCAAATTAATGCTGTTATTAACATAGACCCTCAGTTGTATCATTAACTGATAACATTAAATGGGTCTGCTTAAGGGCTGCATATTTGTGTGAATGCTGTAAAGCATTCACATAATTGAGATCCTGTTTCTCTTTATTCTTTATTATTATTATTATTATTATTATTATTATTCTTCCGAGGTGCAAATCTTCGTATCGCTACTACTTCTGCATACTT